ATCCGTAATATTACACCATCACGTTAGTAAATTGAAACTTCAACTTCTTTACTCATGTAATTTGAAAACTGGAGTTGCTTGATATACAAGGAAAATTGGTACGTACTATTTGCTAAGCTACATACAGAATACACAAGCAAGAGTTTCAACGAGGAGTGAGACTAGTGATTGATGCACTGTCTATAGAACAAGGAATAGACTTGCTGCTGGATTGGCCCGGCTCGGATCCATAGGTTAAAGGGTCCAAATTTGGTCTGTTCCTGAAGAAAAATCCAGGTGGNCGAGGCACAGGTAGAGTAATGGAGGNATTNGTAAGCATNTGNAAGATTGTAGACATGGCTGGACGATCTGCGGGAGTTTCTTGAACGCATAGTAGTCCGATATGGATGCATCTAATGACTTCATCTTCCTCATATCTTTCCATAATCACGGGATCGATGAGATCTAAGGGTGATTCATTGTTCCAAAGCCTCCAAACCTACCAAAAAGTCATATTCAGAATCAAAACCCTTGAAGGTCGCAATAAAAATGGAGTGTAAAAATGTTGAGATTTTGATATGATTTTTGCTCACATGTGTAACTAAATTGCCACCAGTATCATCCATCTGATAAAAGCTGCTATTCTTCTTGCCACAAACAATTTCTAGAATCAATACTCCAAAGCTATAGACATCAGATTTGGTAGAGAATTGGCCATGTGTCACATACTCTGGAGGCATGTAACCGCTGCAAATATACACATGACAATGTTTATGTTAATCATAAACCAAAAGGTGTCATCACGGAATTTTGCTCAGTTTAGTAGCTTAAGTAAAGATGATACTAGCAATGTTCCAACCACTCTTCTTGTATTGTCTTCAGTTTGGTCCACTCTGAAATTCCTAGCCATTCCGAAATCCGCAATTTTAGGGTTCATATCGGCATCTAAAAGAATGTTACTCGCTTTGATGTCACGGTGTATGATGGTGAGCCTTGAGTCTTGATGAAGATAGAGAATCCCTCGCGTTATCCCTCCTATGATGTTGTACCTTGTTGTCCAATCTAGCTGGCTCTTCTTTGTTGAATCTGCATTGGACTAATAGTTTAAGAGAAAATTTCTAAGAACATAAATTAAACCTAGTAGTGTTATTAGTTATTACCAAAAAGGAAATAATTAAGGCTTTTGTTTGGAACAAACTCGTAGACAAGTATTTGTTCATCTCCTTCCAAGCAAAACCCAAGAAGCCTAACAAGATTCCTATGTTGAAGCTTAGCCACAAGCACAACCTCGTTCTTAAACTCTTGTGTGCCTTGTCCCGAATTTCTCGATAGCCTCTTCACCGCGATTTCTGTTTCATCTGGTAACTTTCCCTACAAATATACATATGGAAAGCTTCTTAGCTTTCATTACAAATCAAGAAGTCATAAATATATATAGAGCTC